ATGTCTCCTCTAAGCCTTGGCAGCTGTGTAGGCTTCACCTGTGGGCAACGGGGAGCCTTAACACTGTGCTGCGGGGAGAGAATATTAAGTCCACGGAACGCACGACCCTTTTCTACGCTCCGTAGTACTTTGCCCAACTTCTCAGAAACCTGAATAATTTCTAAAGGCTTTTTCTTGGCCTCTAAATCTCCCCTGAATTTTTCAAAGGCTTGAAAACCACGAGAAGCAATATTCTTCGTTAGAGTATCTTTATAGGATACTTTTAACGAATTCTTACTGTCGTGGGTGTTCGGCTGGAGTTTCCCGGTCGGTGCAGAGTCTTTTTTCGCGGAGCCTCCATTCGCCTCGGCGATTTCCCCTGATGCTGGCCGGTCGTGACGTTTTAGATTCGCGCCATCATTTTCTCCTTTTTTCACCTGCTCCGAAGTCGCCACGTCGTCGCCTTTTCCTGCTTTTCGGATCTTTACGCGATCGCCAGGTCGATCCGCGGCTACTGGCGATTCCCGTTTTTTTACTTCGGGGGTGCTCCACTGTTTCCGTCCCGGAGTGCCGCACGTGCTTTCTTCATTTTGTTGGTCGTCCCTTCATTTTGTGCTTTCTTCATTTTTTTCTTCATTTTGTTTCCTCATCGTCCAAGGAAATTTCTTCCGAGACCTCCTCTTCCCCAGCCATAAACTCTGGGTCAGCCTCAGAGTTGTCAGAAGCCTCTGGCTCCCCATTCGTCTGTGGCGTCTCTCTCCGGCCTGTCGTGACGTTCCCGCCAGGGACCAGTCCTAATAGGGATCTCAGATCTGGGCACAACGTTGCGCCCTCCCTTGCCTCCCCGTAGTCCCCCGTGCAAATTTCCGCGGTTGCAGTGCCTGCCGTTTCCGCCGTGGCGTTGCCTTCGCGGCCCGCCGGCATCCACGGTTTTCGGCCGCCCCGTGGTAAACCCCAGGTTATCGTTCCAAGCCTCGCCGAGCGCCTGGTGCCGGCCGTCACCGCCGCTGTCGCATTCGCATCAGCCGCTTCTGCCGTTAACCCTGCTGCCCGTGGCGCCACATTCGCCCCACGGTTACCATTTCCTGCACCCTCCTGCGCCTGCGTTGTTGCCGCCGGCGTCGCTGCTTGTGCAGTGGCAGTCCGTGCTGACGTGCCGCCTTGGGATGGCAACGGATGCGCTGGCTCTCGTGGCGACTGCCCTTGCCGTAGCCAGCCCAGGAGGGGTCCCAGGGATCCACGTCCCAGCCCTGCTCCAAGCCGCCTCGGTGCTGGCTGGGCTCGGGTCTTCTTCCTGGACGCCTTCTCGCAGGAGGGTGAAACCATGCAACCGGTCGCGCACCCCGATCTATCACCCACCCGCTGGCCGTGCACTTGCGTGTCTGCGTCCGCGGCAGCAGCAAGCGTTTTGGCGGACAAACCGCCAGCCTGCCCAGCATCTCCGTTCGAGCCTTCATCCTGTCGCCTCGCTGCTGCAGCCACCGCCACAGCCAACTCTGCCGGTTTTGGAGAGTGATCTAAACTCACCAGTGAAGAATGAGCCCCATGGGCAAGGAACTAGGGACTTTATACTAGGAAAACACTGCTGAAAACGGCTAAGGACTAGGGACTAGGCTAGAGAGGCTAAAAACGGCTAAGGACTAGTCCCAAGCCATCCCTCTCTCTCTCTCTCCCTCTCTCTCTCTCTCTCTCTCTCTCTCTCTCTCTCTCTCTCTCTCTCTCTCTCTCTCTCTCTCGCTCTCTCTCGAACGAGCCGCTGGTTTTAGAGAGTGAACTGAACTCACCAGTGAAGAATGAGCTCAAAAGGGTGCATCTAAGGACTTTATACTAGGGAACTAGACTGAGAAACGGCTAAGGACTAAGGACTAGGACTAAGGGGCTGAAAAATGGCTAAGGACTAGCCCCAAGCCATCTCTCTCTCTCTAATGGTCCTTGTATTGATATAGCCGCGGAATACAAGCATGCAAGTCATAGAAACAAGGGTAACAAACAGACACAGCAATAGATCCTACCAACTACCACTCTAGAGCTCCAGGAAGGGCTCGACCACTGCAAAACAGTCCCCTAGGTTCAACTCCTGCCCAATACCACCTACAGGCGGGTTCTCTGCTATCGCTGCCTTTCCCAGCTTGAGTAGCAGGCCCACAGATTGGGCTCTCTGCAGGGCCACTGATCATCTCTGTCTGAACTGGTGCAGAAACTTGGCGGCATGAAATGATTTGGAGTCGGCGTTGAAGTGGCGCCGAGCCGCGGTGTCTGCTAAGAGTTTCACGAAGACCGGTACCTCGGCGCAAGGACAGCCATAGGTTTCCATGGCCAGAGGGAAGAAGCTAACTATCTCCGGCCTGTTGGCGTAATGCTTTATCTTTTTGTCAGCCTGCTCCCGTGCCGCCCATCCCCTTCCTTTCAGTGCCTCGGGGTCCCTTGTGCTGATGGGGTCAGTGATGGTGACGTCACACACATAGACCGCCCCGCTGCTCCTGTCAGTCATAGTGAAATCGGCCGTCTGTTCCTCGATGGGGCAGTGGGCGGCCGACTCGCTATGCACGATAAACCCCGCGTCCTGCGCCATGCTAATGCATGCGTCCCGCAGCTCGTTGTAGGTGTTGATGCGGTGCTTTCCTGTGCCGCAGCGGAGGAGGTGGTTTGGGAGGCGGGGGTCAGTGATAGCCGTGTGGTCAGAGCAGTCACACTTCTTTGGCGTTGAAAACGGGAGGCCTAGCCGAAAGCGCACAGCATTGGCGAAGTGCACGGGTCCTACTCGTCTGTTTGGGGCGATAGGGATATCGGTCAGCCAGTCACCAGTTCCGTATCCTGTCAGGGAGAACATCCGCTGCGTATGGCCTGAGAGGGGGTTCGGCTTCATGTTCCTCGTGCCCTGGACCTGCACGGCGTATCTGCTGCCGTGGACCTTCAAACCGAGCACATGCTGGAGCCTTATGTCCGAAGGTGACAAACGCTCCTTCTCCAGAATCTCCCTCGCGTCTCCTGGCAATGCTGCTTCGCACTCGGTAAGCCATGTGTGCAGAGGCGTTGTGTCGTCCCGTGGCAAGAGCATGTGGTTCCTCGCCTAGGTCAATGCGTTTTCTGGGTCTAGCTCGAGGGAGGATAGGAATAGCGCAGCCTGGAGGAAACTAGCCGTGAAGCCGTATACGCCTTCTACTAAGGGGTCCGTGATGCCAATGCCACCTAGTGACGGTGGCAAGGAAGCCTGCGCCCAGACACGTGCTTGTTCGGCTCTGCTCGTTGGAACGCGGATATCACACGCTACCAGCAGTGCTGTCAGTAGGTCTTGTCCCCACTGGCTCCAGCTGTCTCGGGGGAGTAGATGGAGTGGCGTCGTTCTGGTGAGGTAAGCCACGCGCCTGGAGATGCAGCGCGTGACTAACAGCGAGGCTACCTGGGGGTCTGCTCGTTCCAGGAGGGGCAGTGGCTTCGCCATCTCCTCCAGCTGTCCAGACAAAAATCTTGCCGCCCCAGAGTCGGGCCCCAGGTAGCTGCCCAAGAGTCGCACCCCGTCTGCTGAATACGGCACTCCTGGCGGAAGTTGCGTCTGATCAACCGTGCACGAACTCTAGGCCGCGCACTTCTGTGGGCTGTGCTTCAGTCCCAGGCGTGCCAGTTTGTCTGTGAAGAACGTAAAAGCTGCAACTGTTCGAGGCGTTTCCCCAAGGAAAGTGACGTCATCCGCGTAAGCCAGGCAGAGTACATCCGGATGTGCCTCGGCCGTTTCTCGAAGTGTGGGGTGTATTCCCGCCGCGAACAGTAGTGGTCCAAGTGGGTCGCCCTGGCGAACCCCGCGTTCGCTTTTTAAAGGTTCGCTGTTGAAGTTTGCGTCCAGGTACAGCAGCGACGGGTTACCGTAGGTCAGTTTGACTAACGGGAGCAGTGGCGAAAGGCTGGGGTCGTGTAACGATGTGGCGATGGCTTGTCGTGAAATATTGTTGAATGCGTTGGAAATGTCCGTTTGCAGAACCAGGCTGTTGGGACGGGCATCTAAAAATGCACGGGCAGCGTGAATGATCGCCTCCGCTCCCCCCGGTACCGCCACCCCGTATTGAAGTGGTAGAAAGTACTCGCGGGCAGATTCTCCCATGACTGTCAGGGCAGCTTTGGCCGCAAGCCTGGTCAGGCATTCACCTATTGCGATTGGCCGGGCGCCTCCTCCCGGTTTGGCTAGAGCGATGAGCCGCGACGCCGTCAGCAGGTCTGCCACCGCGCCTGGTAAATTTCCTCTCAGCATTGTATTTACCAAGGCGTGCATATGGGTGCTGACCAGTGCGTTGGTTACTGCCGCGTCGCGCAGGTGCTCGAATGTCGTGCCAGATGGCCCGGCCCCCACTCCATTGTCGCATCTTCCCAGCATTTTAGCGAATTCAGCGTGGGTGATGGTCAACTTTGACCCACGTGTGTCAGGCCAGGTCGTCGTCGCGTGTGCAGCTGGCGGATGTTTTTGGCGAAGTTCGTCCAGGATTTCTGGACTAGGTGTGCAGACTGGAGTTGACTCCAGCGCCAACACGGCGCGTCGGAGACTGCCGCGTTTCGCCAGGCCCTCGGCTCGGCTGATGACTCCAGTTTCGTCGGGCTGGTGGCGGGGCGGTGGAGGGGTGTTGACTGCCTCGACTGCGTCTTGGTACAGCTGCTCCCATTCGCCACGCTGGAAGGCTCGGAGCCGAGCCTTGATCTGGGGCCAGTTCGGGCGTCGAGGTGAGGTTTGGCGCAGTGTAAGTGGTGGGAGGAAAAGCAGCAGGCGCCATCCTTCCTCGGATTACGGGTTCCGCGACAGATGAAGTAACGGGGTCAATATTGCCAGCGAGAACAGCTGGCACAGATTGGGCGGTAAACGTCGTGCCAAGGTAGGTTGTCGACTTGATGCCGAAATTTCCCAGTTCGCGATGCCAGCGAACAAGTCTGCTCGCTTCGCCAGTTCGTCAGCTGAAAAATAGCGGGGGTTTGGTGGGGTCTGCCGGGCCGCTGAATTTGCAATCGCGCTTCGATTTCGTTGTGCGCGGCTTGTCCCCATGGTCGAGGGGCCGGTTGGATTTACGTCCGTTCGATCGACATCCGACGGTCCCTGGTCTGCTTCCTGGCGTTGTACTGACTCCTCTCTCACTCCTCTCGCTGTCTCCCTCATCCTATCTTCTCCCTCCCCGTCGCCATCTTCGCTAGATGGGAGAGTCTCTTCACTATATGTAGGGTCTGCATTTTCATCGACCTCATTAGCTCTCTCCAGCGCTATTAAAGCCATTCGTCCCGCTGCCTGGTACCCGTTCTGCGGACCGCCAGCCGTCCCACTAGCCGTCTGTCTTCTCGTCCCTCGGTCTCCTTGCTCTCGCGATGGTGATTGCTGGTGCTGACGAGCCGTCGCCAGAGCTCGCTGCCTCCTGGTCGGCTGTGGTTGCCAAGCCCCCGTCGGAACCTGAAGGGGCGACCACGGCGATGAAGCCCCCTCTCCCTCCTGCTCCGAAGCCCGCGTCAGCAGTCTCTGAAATGCCTCCTCCCCTCGCACCCGATGCTCCTGTTGCCGTGGCTGCCCTTGTCCAGTCCGTGCCTGTTGCTGCTCCCTCCCCTCCGGCTGCTGCTCCAGCTCCACCGGCTGATTCTGTTGTACCGCCGGTACCCGCGCCTGCTGGGGCCGTTGCTGATCCCCCGGTTCCCCTCCATGGCGCGCCCGCTGCACCGTCCGTTTCTGCCCCCGCCGACCTTGCTCCGGCGTCTGCTTTGCCGCCAAAGGCGGCTTCCGCCACCACTGCCGACCCGGCTCCGCCGGTGTCGCCCGCTGTGGCACTTGCTGGTGCGCCGGCGGCCCCAGCAGTTCAGCCATCGCGTCCCACATCACCTGACCGTCGACTATCTCGGCCCCATTCCCCCGCGCCTTAGCAGGAGCGTAGGTCGTCTCGCCGCAGGCGTGACTCACCGCGCCGTTATCAGCAGCAGGCGCACTGGCCTGCCCACCCTGGCGGTCAGGGGGACTGGAGGGTTCCCCGCGGGCGTGGCAGTGGTGGGGGGTACCGTCCGCGTGTGACGATGGCGAATCTTCAGCGGGAGGTGTCGAGGGCTGTTCGTGAGGAGAGGGCGGCGCAGAGCCAGAGCAGTTCGATGCGCGCCTCGCCAGCCGTTGATGCTCCTCGTCCAGCTGCGCTCCCCTTGAGTCCGCCGCCTGTCGCTGCACCCCCGCCACCGATTCCCGTCCCGCCGGCTCCCGCTCCTGCTACATCGGCGCCTCCCTCCGGCTCTCCTCTTCATCTGCCGCCGGTCCCGCTTGTTGCGGGAGTAGAGTTTGTAGCTGCGGGTGGTGGCTCGTCGGCGCAGTATTCCCACCACGATGCTGCGGATGGGCCACTTCTTTTCCTAACGAAGGCACTTCAGCCTCCGCAGACGCGTATTCCCGAGGCGACGCTTGGCCAGCTCCACCGACTCGCGGAGAGCCTCCACGCGTTGCTGCTGATTCAAGTTCTTGCTCACTCGTCCCTCCCCGTGATTCCTGCAGAGACTTTCCGCGGCCGCCAGCGTGACACGTGCTTGGACGCGGCGGACCAGCTCGCGTCGTTGCTGGCGCCCGTGTTGGCTGCGCCCGCGGAGGGTGGCGCTGCTGCTGCGGGACAGCTTGACGAGGCTGTCCGGGGCTTGAGGAGGCACTTGCGCGCAGGATCTGGAGCCGCGGCGATCGGCGCAAGCACGCTTGTGGTCCGGGAGCTGTGGCGCTCCCTGACGGGCGTTCTTCACGCCCTTGGAGCTCACCGCATGTAGATGCGGGCTTCGACTGCCCCATGATTTCTTTCTTCCTGCTAGTTTGCCGTAAGACTTGCCATGCGTGTAATGTCTCCTAGTATAAGCAATTGTTTGTCGTTTTACTTGCCGTCCCCTCACGCGGCCGGCGGCCGACGCGAGCGGAAAATTTCGGCCGCCAACTGAATAATGAGGAAGAGAAGGCTAAGACGGGCCCTTAAATAGCTAGGCAACCGAGGGCAGAGGCTAAGGGCAGAGGGCAGAGGCTAGTCCTCTCTCTCTCTCTCTCTCTCTCTCTCTCTCTCTCTCTCTCTCTCTCTCTCTCTCTCTCTCTCTCTCTCTCTCTCTCTCTCTCTCTCTCTCTCTCTCTCTCTCTCTCTCTCTCTCTCTCTCTCTCGCTCTCTCGAACGAACAAGCGGAAAATTTCAGCCGCCAACTGAATAATGAGGAAGAGAAGGCTAAGACGGGCCCTTAAATAGCTAGGCAACCGAGGGCAGAGGCTAAGGGCAGAGGGCAGAGGCTAGTCCTCTCTCTCTCTCTCTCTCTCTCTCTCTCTCTTTCTCTCTCTCTCTCTCTCTCTCTCTCTCTCTCTCTCTCTCTCTCTCTCTCTCTCTCTCGCTCTCTCGAACGAACAAGCGGAAAATTTCAGCCGCCAACTGAATAATGAGGAAGAGAAGGCTAAGACGGGCCCTTAAATAGCTAGGCAACCGAGGGCAGAGGCTAAGGGCAGAGGGTAGAGGCTAGTCCTCTCTCTCTCTCTCTCTCTCTCTCTCTCTCTCTCTCTCTCTCTCTCTCTCTCTCTCTCTCTCTCTCTAATGGTCCGTATATTGATAGAGTTGTAAGGTACAGACATGCAAGATATGGAATGCGGCATCTAGCTAAACAAACAAACAGACAAGACCCTCCAGTCACACAACTATCACACCACCGCCCTCTCTAGAGCTCCAGAAACGGCTCAACAACCACGAAGCAGTCCCCAAGGTGCAGCTCCTGCCCTATGCCTCCCACAGGTGGATTTTCTGCTGCTGCTGCCTTGCCCAACTTAAGGAGGAGTCCCACGGATTGCGCTCTCTGTAAGGCCACCGACCACCGTTGCCTGAATTGGTGCAGAAACTTGGCGGCATAGTAGGATTTTGAGTCGACGTTGAAGTGGCGCCGAGCCGCTGTGTCTGCTAAGAGCTTGAGGAAGACCGGTACCTCGGCACAGGGACAGCCGTAGGTGTCCACCGCCAGGGGGAAGAAGCCAACCGTCTCGGGGCGGTTGGTGTAATGCTTGATTTTCTTGTCGGCCTGTTCTCGTGCCGCCCATCCCCTGCCCTTCTGTGCTTCCGGGTCCCTAGTGCTGATAGGGTCAGTGATGGTAACGTCGCAGATGTAGACCGCTCCACTGCTTCTATCGGTCATGGTGAAGTCAGCCGTTTGCTCCTCGATAGGGCAGTAGGCGGCCGACTCCCTGTGTACTATAAACCCCGCATCCTGCGCCATGCTAACGCAGGCGTCCCGTAGCTCATTGTGCGTGTTGATGCGGTGCTTGCCTGTGCCGCAACGGAGCAGGTGGTTCGGGAGGCGGGGGTCACTGATAGCCGTGTGGTCCGCGCAGTCACAGTTCTTGGGAGTTGAAAACGGTAGGCCAAGTCGGAAGCGGACAGCGTTGGCGAAGTGCACTGGCCCTATCCGCCTTGCGGGAGCGATGGGGATCGCGGTGAGCCAGTCGCCTGTGCCGTAGCCAGTTAGTGAAAACATCCGCTGCGTGTGACCTGCAAGCGGATTCGGCTTCATGCGCCTTGTCGTCTGCACCTGCTTTGCGTATCTGCTCCCGTGGACCTTGACTCCTAGCACGTGTTGGAGCCGGATGTCAGAACGCTCAAGCCGCTCCTTCTCCAGTATCTCCCGCGCATCTAGCGGCAGCGCCTCCTCGCACTTGGTCAGCCATGTGTGTAGCGGTGTGCTGTCGTCCCGCGGCAGTAGCATATGGTTCCGTGCTAGAGTGAGAGCGTTATCCTCTTCCAGCGGTAGGCAGCTGAGATAGAGCGCCGCCTGTGTAAAGCTGGCCGCGAAGCCATGTCTTAGAGGGCTGCAATGTCCCAATTCTCTCTCTCTCTCTCTCTCTCTCTCTCTCTCTCTCTCTCTCTCTCTCTCTCTCTCTCTCTAATGGTCCGTGCATTGATATAGTGGAAAGGCACAAACATGCAAGGTATAGATGCTAGAACTTAATCATACAAGCAAACAACAATCAGCTACAATCTAGAGCTCCACAAGGGGCTCAAGAACAGCAAAACAATCCCCTAGGTGTAATTCCGACTAGGTCCCCCCCATCGGGGGGTTCACTATTACAGCCGCTTGGTTGGATTTCATGAGGTATCCAACATACTGTGCCCACAGTAGCGCCACTGACCACCCCTGCCGAAATTGGTGCAGGAACTTTGCCGCTTGAAATGACTGGGGGGGAGCATTGAAGTGGTTCCGTGCTACTGTGTCAGCAAGCAGCTTCAAGAATACGGGCACCTCGGCACACGGGCAGCCGTATGTGTCAACGGCTAAGGGGAAGAACCCCACCGAGTCCGGCCGGTTTGTGTAATGTTGAATCTTCTTATCCGCCGGATCCCTGGTGCTAATTGGGTCTATGATGGTCACGTCATAGACATACAACGCCCCCGAGATTTTGTCCCTCATGGTGAAATCAGCGGTCTGGTCCTCCACTGGGCAATACGCTGCAGACTCGCTGTGGACAATAAAATCGGCGTCGTGGGCCATGCTGATGCAGGCGTCTCTCAGCTCGTTGTGCGTGTTGATGCGGTGCTTGCCTGTTCCGCATCGGAATAGGTGATTGGGGAGGCGTGGGTCAAGGTTTGCGGTGTGTTTTGAGCAGTCACAGTTTGCAGGTGTTGAAAATGGGAGGCCAAGGTGGAATCTGATTGCGTTAGCAAAGTGTTCAGGGGCCACACGGCGGTTGGGCGCGATGGGTATGGCGGTGATCCATTCGCCTGTAGCGTAGCCAGTCAGTGAGTACATGCGCTGGGTGTGGCCGCACAGCGGGTTTAGGCTCATTTGCCGTGTCTCCTGCACCTGATCCGCGTATTTGCTTCCATGGACATATAGCGCCAGTGCGTGCTGCAGCCGTATTCCCGATGGTTCCAGCCGTTCCTTCTCGAGCAGCTCACGCGCATCTATGGGCAAGGACGCTTCACACTCCGCCAGCCAGGTGTGGAGTGGGGTGGTTGTGTCACCTGGCAGCAGCATGTGATTCCTGACCGAGGAGAGGCTGTCCGACTCTGTTAGTGCTAGCGAACGCAGTAGGAGGCTGGCTTGGGTGAAGCTTGTAGTGAAGCCGTAGATGGCTTCTACAGTGGGGTCTGCTAGGCCGATTCCGCCGAGAGATGGCAGGAGAGATGCCTGGTTCCACACGCGGAGTTGCTCGGTGTTGGATGTGGGGACACGGATGCCGCACTTTGCCAACCCTTCGGCTCTGTTGATGATTTCGACGTCATCAGGCTGGTGTCGAGGTGGCAGAGGGGAGTTGACCGCATCTCTTGCGTCTGTGTACAGTTGCTCCCATTCACCGCGTTGAAAATTTTGAAGCCGAGCCTTGATCAGCTTCCAGTCCAGTCGTCTCCGTGAGGCTTGGCGGAGTGTCAGACGCGATAGGAATAACAGCAGTTTCCAACCCGCGACAGATTCTGGATTTCGTGATAGGTGGAGAAGTGGTGTCAGCGAGAACAGCTGGCGGATTGTTGGGGGTAGTCGGCGGGCTAGTGGGGATTGGCGACTGTCTCAGAGGGCTGCAATGTCCCAATTTTCGGCCGCTGTGAACATGTCTAGCCGCTTCGCAAGTTCCTCTGGCGAAAAGTAACGCGTGTTTGGGGTCTGCTGCATACCCCATAGTGCGCCAAAAATCTACATTGAGGAAGGGGGGGAGTGCTTGTGTGTTACAAATTGAGGACGGAGTCTATGAAGAATAGGGACCGAAATATATGTGAATCGTTGGTCTACAATTCTGGGAAGAAACATCGATTCCACAAGAAACGCTGTCGACGAAAAAATCATGGTTAGAATGCTCTCAAACTTGATTATGTTGTAGCTCTAGAACGTAGCTGAATTTGAATCGTGTCAAAACATGAAGTATATCTCGAGTTATGATTTTCGGCGCACTAGGGGGTATGTTGCCACGTAATAAAATCTTCCTTGTTTTCTGGCAAGCCGCGTCTCTCTCTCTCTCTCTCTCTTTCAACTGTCATGATGGCGCGAAACTCGACGTTCGTCCCTCTCTACTTTGTCTGCGGCGTGCTGGTCGTCGTCATGCTTCTCGCTTCCGCCGCTGCGAGTAGTGCCTACAGTGTGGCGTATGGCCAGCAACAGCGTATCGGACGGGTCTTTTCCGCGATGCCTCGCTTGCCTCCGACGAGTCGTCGCCCGCGCCAGGCGGCTGCATCTGTAACGTCGAGTCACGCGCGCATTAAGCTGCAACCTTCACAATGTGAGTGTTTTTTTTGTCGCCGAAGGCGGCTGGGCCGCTCAAACCGTAGCCGAATTTCTTGCTCTCCTATATGATGATCGTCTAACAGCAGGCCATTCCGAATGCAGATTTCAAGGGGTCCTTGCTTATTACTCTTGCCACAAATATCGCTCCCCTTCTCCCACTTCGGGGTACAGTAGAACGTGGAGATGCCTAGCCAGGCGACCAGCTCTTGTCGCCGCCCAATTGTCACCTGACGGCTGGCAAGCCATGCTCATCCCCTTCGTCCTGCTTTTCCATCCCCCAAAAATCTCCTCCTCTACCTTGCCCTCAGTGAAAGCGCTTCTGGCCCTGAACCAGGCATTGAATTTGTGGATGAATTGTACCTCGTCAAACGTGTTCTGTGATGAGTGTGAGAGCGGATATGCGGACTTGAAGTGTAACCAAGACGGCATGGTTACTGAGCTGTAAGCTTTGTCATGAGATCTTGTTGTGCACTCTGGAAAAGGAGTAGCGGGTACATGGGGAAATGTGAGAGTACGACGGCTTATGCTGGCTTTGCTAGCTTGCCTGGACTTTATTATGCTATTTCTAGCTTGGGTTTATTTTATCATGCATAGATATGCTTGATTTCTTAGGTTAGGTGCATTCCTATATTTTATTATAGTTATAGCACCGAACCAGGTTACGTGTACCGAACTCAAGCTTATTCGGTTCCCACCGAATTGCTTTCTACCGAGTTCGGGAAGGTTCTGTTTGGGACGCTTCGCGACCCTCTGAACATTCGCCTAACACCTGGGTTACCTGCCTTGTGTCGAGCCTATATATAGCCTCGCATTGTACCCAGGTGGATCATTCAATTCAGAACTTCTTTCCTGAACTCGATCCTAGATGCTCACAGGGAAGGAGGTAAGTGGGGATGGGGATAGGGGGAAGGCAGGAACTGCGACCTAATTGGAGAGAACTTGCATGCCTTTGCTCCTGACACAGTGTGCAGCACGCATTAGTGAACCTGCTGCAGCAATGCCGCCGCTTCTATCGAAATCGTACAACATTATCCACGTGTTTCTTTCTTTCATTCTTTCTTTTTGCCTTTCTTTTTTCCATTTCACATCTCATGTTACGTAATGTAGGTCCGCATTCGTTATTGATTCGTATGGCGACGTGCCAGCAGCCATCACAGCCCTCTCTGTGCTTCAGAAACTGTCAGTGCTTACCATTGTTGGGGGGAGCCAGGGTGGATGGCTGTAGGGGTACTTAAAGGTCCACAGATTGGGTTGTTGAGGGTGCGCTGAAACACCATTGGAACATGTGTGCTGGCGACCTAGAAAAATCCTCACACAGAGTATAATGCTTCTCACATAGTTGGGAATTCCCTGTGTATCTCTTGCTCTCATTCCACCTGCCGCTCCATAGGTACTACTAGTTTTTCTATAAACATCCGCAAACCCTCGAAGCTTGAAAGGTACAGGACCTCGAAGCTTAGACTCTTGGGTTCGTTTCTCATATAGTCACCCTGCCTCTTGCATTGCATGTCAGAATGTTATTATCTAGCCTGTAGTGGGGTGCTCTATAGCGAGTACAACCCTGTTAGGGTTTGCTATATGTATCCCAACTACTGCTAGTGAAACCCCTCCTTTGCTTATTCTCTCTTGCCTAGCTAGCTAAACCCTAGCTATGGCTACTTCATTCTAACTACGATTCTAACATGGTATCAGAGCGAAGGTCTCGGGTTCAAATCCCAGTGTGTGCACTTCGGGCATCCCAGTGCGGGGGGGTGTCAGAGGTCCACTGGTGATCCCCGATTGATCCTAGGGAAGGATTACAGGCATGTTGGCCTGGGGGGTTATGGGCGCACTGACCCGCTACTTAACAAGCCCTTTTATCCCAATGGTCTAGTGGTTGGGATTCTGACATGGAATCAGAGCTGTTACGCTCTTGGCCTGTGGGTCCGCCTACTGCTTCCGCTGCTACTATTCTGCTGGTCGCGCGACACTTTTTCATCCCGCCGCGCGCTCGTGGCGCGTGGCGGTTTTCTGCCCGCCATGCGCTCGGGACGCGTGGCGGTTTCCTGCCCGCCGCGCACCCTGGGCACGCGCGGCGGTTTCGCGTTCCGTCGACCCGCGCGCCCGTCCCCGTCGACCTTCGCGCGGCTCCCCGTCGCCCTTCGCGGCGGCCCCGTCGACCCGCCCGCGGCTCCCCGTCGCCCTTCGCGGCAGCCCCGTTGACCCGCGCGTGGCTCCCCGTTGCCCTTCGCAGCGGCCCCGTCGACCCGCGCGCGGATCCCCGTCGCCCTTCGCGGCGGCCCCGTCGACCCGCGCGCCGCCCCCGGGGACCCGTGCGCTCGTCCCTGTCGACCCACGCGTCGCCCTGCGGCCCCCCCCTCCCCGGCACACCTGAGTTTGCTTACCGCACACCCGAGTTCGCTTCCCGCACACTTGTGCACGATTCGCGCACACCTGAGCTCGCTTACCGCACACTCAGGGTATGGGGGTGACGGGTATGGGGGTGGCGGGTGTGTGAACCGTCCCCTCCTCCTCCTCCTCCGTCTCCCACTGCTGCAGCTGCCGCTGAGAGGGGTGGGTGTGTGGGAGCCGAGGGGAATGGCGCTAGGGGGGTGACGTGCGAGTGGAGTTAGGGGTTCAGCAGGGGGTGTGTGTCAAGGGTGTGGGTCAGTTGGAGGAGGTTGTGTGGAGGTAGCTGTCGTGTCGCCTGCAGCGCCTGTAGTCCGTCGCCCTTGCTTCGGTAGCCAGTGAGCCTATTGCACCAGTCGCCTGTGGGTCCGTTGCTCCTGCCGCTCGTCTTAGCCGCGGAGCCAGTCACTCCAGTAGTCCGTCGCCCTTGCTTCGGTAGCCACTGAGTCAGCCGCTCCTGTGCCCGTACCCTAAACCCTAGCTATGGCTACTTCATTCTAACTACGATTCTAAGATTGCATTGCGTTGCATGCCACTCTGTAGGGATCTGTCAAGAAATGGCTTCGTTGGACGCCTGGAGATTCTCGGCCAGTTCCCCAAGTTGCAATATGTGTACGCAACTACTCCCCTTCCACCATTGCACTTTCTCACCTATATACCCACCTTCATCGTTCGAGTCGAGTCAATGGTTGGTTTATCATCGGTTTCCCTTCCTTGTCGCTCTCTCCCACATGTGAGCTGTGCGTACCCCCCCGCCCACTCGGTTGCCATGGCACACACTAGAGATCTGAGCCACACCAACTTCGGAGGATCCATCCCGAAAACCATCAGCAATGCCAAGAGCCTGTAGTACCTGTAAGAGGGGGCTCTAGTGTCAAGGCAAGGCAACAGGGCATGATGAAACATGATTCTGGCGTTCACCTGCTGCCCTTATCACATGAGGCAGAATCAGAATCCGGGATTCCATCACGTGTCTAGCGTGGCCGACGGGGGCAGTTCATCTCGCGGCTATGGAGAGTGCTTTCATTCTTGCCTTTCTTTCTTTCTTTTTGTTATGGAGCATGCACCCTACTTTACCAATTTCCGAAATTCAATCTTATCTATTAGAGTGCCAATGAACATTTTCCCCTACTGGCACGTTCTTCTGTGCACCAACTCGTATGCATCCCATCCCAGTAACCTCCAGGGCCTGAAACTCAGTGGAAGTCTCCCTGGCAGCATCAGTCGCCTCATTGCACTCCAATCTCTGTATTTCTTCCCTCACCTCCCCCAACCTCCTTCCTTTCGTTCCTATTTCTCTCCCTTGTCCTCCTCCACCCCCAAGCTTGCAAGCACATCGCTTGAACCTCGTATTGACACGTTGTTTTGTGCCCTCTCCACTTCCCAGCCGCTGCTCCCCTTTCTTTCGTAGCGCACCAGTCCGTTGCAAGCATGTAAACCCCCTTTCCCTCTGTCTGCAGTGGCCCCAACAGGCAGGCACATTGGAACACCACGGCAGTATTTTGACTCATTTCCTCATGGATATGCATACGACCCTCCAACAGAGTGAGACTGATGGGGATGAATGGAATGTGGCTCTTGCTGCCTGCTGGTGCATGCCATGGAGAATGCCATGGTGCATGCATGATGTGTGTGAATCACCATCAACATATTTGCAGAAGCTGTAGCAGCGTAGCAACATGGCTACGGAACAGAATACTGTGTATGCTCAGGCAGTCAAGGGAAAATGTGTGACTGCACCTCAAGAACTTGATGCTTGGGAGGCTCTTGGGAAGAATCACTGGCTGATGTGATGCGAACCACATGGTTCTGAAGCACACAGTGCAGTGCTGCAGGGCAGCTCATATGACGATGAGGCCGTCCGTGTGTGCACACCTTCCATGCCGCAGCTCGCACTCCACCTTCCTTACCGCAGCTCACCGCCTTCTATTCTCCTAACATGCTCAATTCGACGTGCTCACTGTTGCATGCACCCACCCAGATAGGGCTTTTGCTCCACCGTTTCTGCTGTGACTGCTGCTGCAATTTGAGGATTCTCAAAAGCCTCCTGCGCGATGGTTCTACTGTGGCGCCCTTTTACGCCATGGGCAACACGCAGCCCACAGAAAGCTAATCACTCCACCCCCTGGCCCGCCTCCTTTCACCCTGCCATCTGTCGCTCTCGCAGTCTTGTACCCATTGAGCAGTATCCGCCATTCCCTAGGATGCAAGGCTCTATGGACGACCTCTCATGTCTCGCTCCACTCACTCGCCTCCAGAACCTATATGCATCGATTTTTCCCAGCCCGCCTTTTCCCTTAATCTAAATCATCCCTACCCGCCCTCCCCTTCCCTCTAAGTAAACTCATCTCTACCTATTCTCACTCATTTCTACCCATCTTTCATCCCCTTTCACTCTTTCCTACCCGCCTTCGCCTCCCCTATCACCCCCCACTTACCCATCTCCCCACTTACCCTCGCACATCCTTTCACTTCTGAGTCGCCTAGGCCCGCCTCGCCTGGCATGAGCTCACGCATGGCGTGGTTTGGATTGCAACGCACCTCCATGTGGCACCTTGCATTGCATGCTGAGTCTCAACTCCACCAAACAGATTGAGGTGCTGGAGGCTCTTGGGCAGTCTCTCTCTCACCATGCTTTCTCATCTCCGTGTGGCAAATTCTAGCAGACGCCCCTTGAGATCCGCCTATTGTTACCTCAGCAATGCATAAACGCCCTTTTGATTAAGCATGTAATCATTAGGTTGCGTTGCGTTGCGTTCCCAACAGCCCAAGATTGGCATTCTGCCGTACTATCGTGCTTCCATAATTTCTAAAGCTTGTGATATTCCACCGAGGCTGCACTCAGGCATGACATTGCAGTATGTATCACAACCCTGACTCATGTTCCTCCAGTACAAGAGCTCTGAACCACATCGCACACCCCCCAAGAGTGTGGCAAAGAAGCATTCTCGCCCCTACCTCACCGTGCATGCCTTCACATCTCCTCCACATCCCCTCCCCTCCACATCCCCTCCCCTCCACATCCCCTCCCCTCCACATCCCCTCCCCTCCACAGCCCCTCCCCTCTATATCCCCTCCCCTCCACGTCCCCTCCCCTCCACATCCCCTCCCCTCTACATCCCCTCCCCTCCACGTCCCTCCCATCCACGTCCCCTCCCCTCCACATCCGCTCCCCTCCACATCCGCTCCCCTCCACATCCTCTCCCCTCTGCCTGCCCTGACTGCATGCAGAGACCTCTGCATCAATCAGCTCACCTCCATGCCTTCTACCATCAGTGCCTTCTGCGAGCATCTGTAAGTCTTGGGTGATTGACATCGCATTGTTCTCTCATGTTTTTGGTGCCTTGTCCCAGAGGCGAAGAACATTAGCCTAAGCCATCTCCTCCCTCAGCCTTATCATTCCATGTCGTGTCTTGCTATGCCGTGCCTTGTCCTGCCATACCGTGCCTTGTCTTGCCATGGTGTGCCATGCCACATTACCCTTGTTAGCATGGAAGAGAGCCGAGCATGCAAGCGGGATGGCTTGCACCTGGTTATGGGATGGTGCAGGCGGCACGGAAACGGAGGTGGAAGCTCATGCGGCATGCAGTGCACATGTCTCATGTGCCTTGCATCATGCCATGGCCCTTGGGTCACTAAATGCTCACTCCTCACTACAGCAATTCCCTTCTGGGATATTCAATGCATGCATGTTACCATCGTCTTACTCCCTTCCACCATCGCCCATTCAACCTCTCCAGTTCCATGGCTCACAACCAGCTTCAAGGTCCCCTTCCTTCTGCCCTCGTTTCCGACAATCTCTGGACTCTGTAAGCGCGCCTTGAAGTTGCTTGGTCCCGGTATGGAAGGAAGGACGGAGGCAAGGGCGTGTGCTCAAGTTGTCTCTTGATTGAGATCCCTCAAAACGACCACAATGCTCATTGTGTATGTGCGATTGTGAACTCTTTCACACACACTGCTGGTCATTCCCCCATCCCCATCCCATGCAAACCATGCCTCCACACAGTGAGCTGCAAGGCAACGCTTTCTCTGGCTCGCTACCCAACTTTGCTTTGTGGGAAACCCCTTGGTTTAGTGAACAGTGAGCTTACTGCCTTGTTCTTACCTTCTCACACTGTCAGCTCACTGCCTTGTTCTTACCTTCTCACACTGTGAGCTCTCTGCCTTGTTCTTATCCTTCTCAACCGATGTTCATCTATGTCAGCAATTCATGTGCCCTTTGGATTTTTTTCTTGTTTACTCCCCCCATTTTTACAAAGACAGATCTGATCTAGCAGCCACGAGCCACATCTGAACTAGCAGCCATATACCTAGCATCGCAGAGCTCTAAGTGGCTGGAAGTCACTAGAATATTTAGCAAAGTTACACTTTCCCTCACCTGCGCCGATCCACCATGTCCCCTCTTTACCCTTCCCACAACCGCCCACCATCACCATGCCCCACTCAATCCCCAGCAACGTCAGCGACAACCAGCTCAGCTCAAAATTCGGAAGGGATGAATCATAGGCTAAGGGCTGATGACCTGATGTCAGACACGAGCTAGGAATTCACCCTTACTCCATCACTTGGTATGCGAGCTGGCGCAACAAGTTCATTGGATACCGCACATGCGATGATGGCAACATCTGTCCCCCGCCAAAATGAGGTTCGGTGGTGAGAGTGGGAGCTTTTGCACCAAAACCTCCATCAGCTTTGAAAATAAGGGGCTGGTGGGGGTACATACGATGCCCGGTTGAGCCCCCCGACCTTGCCTTACCCTCTAGGCTTATAAGTGATTCTGGCATTTCGCGGAGGTTTCGTCAATTTGTTTCAGGCAAAAAGGGCTCATAATTTTTTTTGTAACTCACCGTTGACTGTTTGACTGCAGTCTTTTCAGTCAGACTTCAGTTTCTGTGGTTCGTATTGGTCGACGTGCTTGTAACGTGGGTGCAACCTCACGGCACGAAACCCACGGGTGCAAGGTTTCCATCTGGTGCAAGGCAATTTCGCATGCAGTGGGTGAGCATCATGTGTACATCGATGGTGGGGGAACTTGAGAATGCGTTGTTAGTGATACAACTCAGATTCACCCACGGACAGATGTGATGTAACAGTTACTCCCCTATCGGACGCCGTTACTTTTGATCTTGGCGCTGGAACAACTGTAACAATGAAGGAAACAGTACACATGATGCCCGTTTGAGCCACTCCCGGTTGCCTTGTAAAGAGGGCTTATAAGCTGTAACCCGAATTTCGCCTAAATTTCGTCGATTCGCAGCGAGCAAAAAAGGATTCGTCAGGTGCTTATAAAACTCTTGTAACCTATCCGTTGACATTTTGACTTCAGTCTCTTCAGTGTGACTTCGGTCTGTTCGTTACTATTGGTTCATAACCACTGCAACTTGCGCGACGTGCTTATAACGGGCGTGCAACTGGCTGGGGAAAAAACCTCGGGTGCAGGGTTTCCATCCGGTGCGGGGCAAATTCACGTGCACGGGTTAGGCAAGGTCGTATCTTCCAGATTTACCCATGGACAGATGTGATGTGACAGGTACTCCCCTATCCGACGCCGTTACTTTGGCACTGGAATGGCTGTGACAATGAAGGAAACAGTAGACAATTGGGCAAGGCAGTATCCACCCAACCCAGAACAGCTGTGAAATTGGTGGTACACCTGTTTCGCGCCACACTGGCATTGGGATGCACTGGCTACAGTGCGTTCTGTTGCTTGGAACGTAGCGGTCTGGTGCTTACAACCGAACTGCAGATAGGTGACGGGCAAATGTTCTCCTGGTGAAAGGTACACAACGGTTTTCAAAAGAAAACTTGCTTTGGCGTACGGTTGAGTGCGGGAAAACGTGCTTAAAGCAAGGGTGCACTTTGGGGGGGGTGGAGGCAAAGGTTTATCACTTGCCTCCACATGGTTACCCTGTTTGTGTTGGGAGTCCGAGCGAACCACACTACAGTGTTAGCAGACTTGCGCGGATTGTCTCTCCCCCCGTCGTCAATTGCGACGGGCCAACTCGGAGTTGGGAACTTGATCACAACCAGGCAGTTTGTGAACCATAACGCTGTAACAGTGCAGCAGCCGAATGCTGCCAACTGCAATGCAGGTGGGCGGAAGTCAATCGTAACAGTGCAGCAACTCAACTCCAAGAACAGTGCAGGTGGGCGGAAGTCAAGCGCCACCTCACCTACAGTTCGGATTGGTCAAGCGCCCCATCCTGCAGCTGGGCGACCAGATTCCGACACGCAGCCCAAGTCAATCCCACGCACGAAAAGTACGAAATGCAGGACTCCGAAGTTCCGACCGCTCGCCGACTTCGCCAACAACACCGACGAAATTACAGCCCCGTAACCAAGCTCGCCGTCCAATCCCGTACCGCAATAATTCTCTGAATTTCACGGCAGGTTCATTTCAAAGGGTTGGGTTACCATTGAGAAATTCAGAGAGAGAGTCGCGACTTGGGAGTGCGACTCGATGTTTGAATGTGATAAAATTGTACTGTCAAATTTGTGAAGTCATAGTGAAATTTCCAGAGAATTCCAGAGAGCACTTCATCCCCGTCTCCTAGCCTACTAAGGCTGCTACTTCCCTGCCAGCAACGTTTCACTGGTTAGTCACTTCGCACGCTCCTGCCATATTCTAGACCCTATGGCTGGGCCGTCGGATATGACTCCGGAACTCTGGAACGAGTTTGTCGCCAATATGCGCCGAGAAATTGAACGCGAGGTGCGTGACCGGATCCTCGGTGAACTCCAGGAACGTGGACTCCTGGGCACACAGGTGCCGGCGCCAGCACCTGCTGTGGTCTCTGCACGTCCGAGAGCACCTGAACCTGAGCCGTTTGTCCCTGGAAAACGAGACTTACCTGTGCGAAGATGGCTCTTCCAAATGGAGGAGTACCTTTCCCTATGCCACGTGAACCAAGCCGAATGGGCGCGGCACGCCGGCATGATGCTGCGAGGTGCTGCTGCTACTTGGTGGCAGAGCTGCCACACTACAATTTCAACCTGGGAGGAATTTTCAGCATCGCTCACCATGAACTTCGAACCTGTCAACGCGATTGAACGCGCTCGTGACAACCTCGCTGCACTACGCCAACACCGCTCCGTAGCCGAATACGTCAACCGCTTCCGGGAGTTGGTGCTGGAGATTCCCGACATCCCTGCCTCCGAGCAGATGGACAAGTTCAAGCGCGGGCTGAAACCAAAAATTCGCACCGAAGTGGAGCTTCGCGGATGCACGTCAATGGATGATATGATCCGTGTGGCGGAACGCTTCGACACGATCAACTTCGCTGCGTTCCAACGCTTCAACGGCATGAGGATGGGTCACACGAATCACACTCTAGCTGCTCGTGCAAACGTTCCTACACCCATGGAGCTGGGAATGATGGAGAGGCAGCCGCGAAATACCTCAAACGTCATGTGCCACCAATGCGGGAAGATGGGACACATCAAGCGGAACTGCCCGAATCGTCGCAGCCCGAACGAAGGACGGGGAAACGGACAGCGCCAGTAGCTGTGGGGCAGACCTCTGGTGCATCGCATGCCCCGCTTCTCCCGACCCCATTGTTCATCGGCACCTCTGAACTCTACACCACATCAAACGCTCCATTCCCCGCCATCATTCTATACGCAAAAATAAAGAATCGCTACGTTGACTTTCTGCTCGACACCGGCGCTTCAGTAAATTTTCTCTCTCCCTCAATTGCTGCTGAACTTTCTCTCCCCGAAGATCCCAACAGCAACCCGCAGGCCGTGATCATGGCAGATGGTACCCGGCGGCACTGCGGACCTACCCTCCTCCCCGTGCATTGCATGTTTGGAAGTCTAGAGGCGACGGTCACGTTCGAGCAACTGCACCTCGGGGGGTACGAAGGCGTTATCGGTCGACCATGGTTGCACCAGTTTGGACCGCGGATTTATTGGCGCAACGGAACTGTCACCGTCGGCAGCTACGACCTCCCATCCCACTCCTTCCGTCGACCATGGTCATCCCCAACCAGTTCCGCTTCGTCAACCCACCCACCCCAACCTGCCCCATCCCCATCTTCCCATATCCCCCCTCTCCCTCCTCCTCGCATAGCTCCCGTGCAGCAGCCAACACCACCCGGCTCTCCCGAAGTGATCAACACACCTCCTCCTTCTCCACCCCACCCAACCCAGCAGCCACGCCGTCCCATCATCCGCCCCACCTCTGAAGTTATCAATCCACCAGCCCCCACCCCTCCTTCACCACCTCCTCCTCATCATCTCCTAGTCATCTTCACGGCTCCCGAATCTGACGCATCAGCTACTCCTCTGCCATCAACCATACAGAATCTGCTCAACGGCTATACGGACGTGTTTCCCGATGATCTACCCTCCGAACTTCCACCTGAGCGTACTATTGACCATAGCATCCGCCTCATTCCAGGTTCTACACCGCCCGTGCGCCCAACCTATCGCATGAGCACTGCTGAACTTTTAGAGCTTCGACGACAACTCGATGACCTTCTTGCGAAGGGTTTCATCCGCCCCAGCACCTCACCATACGCTGCCCCTGTGCTTTTCACTCGCAAGAAGGAAGGTGACTTGCGCCTCTGCATCGACTACCGCGCCCTCAACGCCATCACTATCAAGAATAAGTACCCGCTGCCCCGTGTCGAGGAGTTGTTCGACATGCTTGGGGAAGCAACGGTTTTCAGCAAGCTCGACCTACGCTCTGGTTACCACCAGATCCGCCTCGCCGAAGACGACATCAACAAGACGGCGTTTCGAACCCGCAACGGCCACTTCGAGTTCCGAGTACTTCCGTTCGGCCTCACCAACGCACCTGCCACGTTCATGGGACTCATGAATGATATTTTTCGGCCCTTCCTCGACCGCTTTGTCATCGTGTTCCTCGATGACATCCTCATCTTCAGCAAGTCACTTGAAGAACATGCTCAGCACCTACGCATCGTCCTCGACACCCTCCGCCAACACCGCCTCTACGCCAAGCTCTCCAAGTGCACCTTCGCCCGTTCAAGCATCGGCTTTCTTGGCCATGTCATCAGCTCCAAAGGCATTGCTATGGACCCTGCAAAGGTCCAGTGCCTTGCTGATTGGCCAGCACCACGCACGGTAGCGGAGCTGCAAAGTTTCATCGGCCTCGCCAAGTACTACCGGAAATTCATATTCAACTTCTCTCACATCTGCGCCCCGTTGACTGACCTCTTTTGTCAAGGAGCTGCCTTTCAATGGGGACTACCGCAGCAGACCGCTTTCAACTCAATCAAATCAGCACTCACCTCGGCACCGGTCCTCACCGTCGCTGACCCATCGCGCCCATACTTCATATGGACCGATGCTTCCGATGTCGCTATTGGTGCTATTCTTTGCCAAGACCACGGCCATGGGATGCAGCCACTTGCATTTGAGTCACGTAAGCTTCAACCGGCAGAGCGCAACTATGCAACACATGACTGGGAGCTCCTTGCCATTGTCCACGCAATCAAGACATGGCGCTGTTACGTGGAGCTGCAGCCCGTCACCGTCTACACCGACCATCGCCCTCTTCAACACCTCAAAACGCAGCCCATGCTCAGCCGCCGCCAAGCCCGATGGGCTGAGTTCTTGGAGCAGTTTGTCCCATCACTTCAGATCATCTACCGCCCCGGGAAGCTCAATCCAGCCAACATCTTGTCCCGACCACAACCACCAGCCCCACCACCCACCAACCAGCCCCAACCAACCACCAACCAGCCCCACCACTCCCCCACCAGCCCCATCTCATCACCTCCACCTCACACTCCAAACCCACCCTTGCAACTCCATGGAACCAGCAGCATCACATGGGATGATGCCTTCATCACAAAGTTTCAGCGCGCCTACAAACGTGACCTGTTTTTTGTCAAGCAAGCACCCGAGGACCCGGCCTACTCATTTGAAGACCCGTTTTGGTACAACGCCGTTACGAAGACCATTTGTGTCCCTGCTGATCGCTCCTTACGGCAGCTGCTACTCTCCGAATACCACGACACCGCTACCGGCAGCCACTTCGGTATTGAGAAGACCTATGCACGCATCTCCAACGACTACCATTGGCCACGCATGCATGCTGACGTACGTGACTTCGTTCGTAGCTGCCGAACCTGCCAACAACTCAAAGCATGCACCACCAACCGCTACGGACTCCTTCAACCCATTCCTCCACCTACCAAAGCTCGGGACGAAGTCACCATGGACTTCATCATGGATCTGCCCCGCACACCGCGCAACTACAACGCTATCCTAGTCGTCGTCGACCGACTCTCCAAAATGAGCCACTTCATTCCCACCCACACAACCGTCACCGCACCCAAAACAGCCCGCCTTTTCTTCGATCACATAGTCTGCCTACACGGTCTCCCATTCGCCCGCGACCCTCGCTTCTTGAGCAACTTTTGGCAAAGCCTCTTCAAGCTTCATGGAACCCGGCTGAAATTTTCTACAGCATATCACCCCGAAACGGACGGACAAACCGAACGGATGAACCGCACGCTTGAAGACGCCCTTCGTGCACAAGTTACCGCTTGCCAAACTGATTGGGACCTCCACCTCACCGCCATCGAACTCGCATACAACAGCACACCCCATCTTTCCACCGGCCAGCCACCCTTCTACCTCGCAACCGGACAGCACCCACGCCTCCCAATGACCCCACCCTCCCACCTCTCCCACGCACCAGCAGCCTTTGAGTTCCTCACCTCACTCGAATCAGCCATTGATGCCGCTCGCACCTCCATCCTTCAAGCACAAGCCAAACAGACCCACTATGCCAACTCCCACCGCAAAGATATCCGCTTCAAGGTTGGCGATCAAGTGTTACTCTCCACTGACCACCTACCCCTGCTTCGCAAAGGCACAACCAGAAAACTTGCCCCTCGCTTCATTGGCCCATTCACCGTCACCCGAGTCCTCTCCCCGGTCAACTACCGCCTCCAACTGCCCAGCTATATGAAGATTCACCCCGTCTTCCATGTCCAGCGCCTCCGCTCTTTCCGTGCACCTTCACATGACCGTCCAGCCACACGCCAACTGCCACCGATGTTCGAAGGCTGCCCCGGCCTGTTTGAGGTTGCATCTATCACTGCTCACCGCGACACACCTCATGGTCGTGAGTTTTTTGTTCATTGGAAGGATCAGCCTGCTAGTGAGGACTCATGGGAACCCGAGAGCCACCTTGACCGCGCCTCAACTGCTGTGAATCGATACTTGACCAGCCACGGTTTGGCGCCGTGGACGACGCCACTTGGAGGGGGAAGTAATGTAACAGTGCAGCAGCCGAATGCTGCCAACTGCAATGCAGGTGGGCGGAAGTCAATCGTAACAGTGCAGCAACTCAACTCCAAGAACAGTGCAGGTGGGCGGAAGTCAAGCGCCACCTCACCTACAGTTCGGATTGGTCAAGCGCCCCATCCTGCAGCTGGGCGACCAGATTCCGACACGCAGCCCAAGTCAATCCCACGCACGAAAAGTACGAAATGCAGGACTCCGAAGTTCCGACCGCTCGCCGACTTCGCCAACAACACCGACGAAATTACAGCCCCGTAACCAAGCTCGCCGTCCAATCCCGTACCGCAATAATTCTCTGAATTTCACGGCAGGTTCATTTCAAAGGGTTGGGTTACCATTGAGAAATTCAGAGAGAGAGTCGCGACTTGGGAGTGCGACTCGATGTTTGAATGTGCTCTATAAAATTGTACTGTCAAATTTGTGAAGTCATAGTGAAATTTCCAGAGAATTCCAGAGAGCACTTCATCCCCGTTCTCCTAGCCTACTAAGGCTGCTACTTCCCTGCCAGCAACGTTTCAAACGCGCTTGACTCTTGTACCACCACTGTAAGGAATTTTCCGGATTCCTTACTGGGTCACACTGTACGCGTACAACCCCGACTTTCAGAAAACCAGGCTCGGCCCGCCGACCTCGCCTTCCGAGCCACCACCGCGTCGCTTTCGGGTTTTCCAACCCCGAACCTGCACCCAACCATCTCGCGACCCCGTGACCTCGGCCTAGCTAGCCTTGCTATATTGTGCCTAGGCCTCGTTGTTCATTCAGACGTTGTAATCACTTCCGCATTATTGAGTTCTGCGCACTCTTTCCTTTCACAACTTATAACACTTGGTATCAGAGCCTAAAGTCCTAGGTTACCCTCGCGTTTCCGGGGTAGTTTGTAGAAGGGGAGCGATAGACTTGGTGGGCTGTTAAGCGGTCGGCCCGTGGAATAGATCTAATTATTCCACTCCGACTACGATAGCATTAACGCCTTCAGCGAAGTCAGAAAAATCGCGAGCCACCCCCTGCCCGTTCGATGAAGCCTGAGGCACATGGAGCAGGCCGAGTTCAACGAGTTCATGCAACAGTTCCGTGCGATGCAGGCCAACTTGCAGGGTATGACTGCAGAGATGGAGCGTCTACGGAAGGAAAACGCCGAACTACACCAGGCGCGTGGTGAAGCGCGCCAGGAGTCGCCTATCGTGGACGACGCAAGTAGCAGCACTACACCAGATGAGCGGGTCTGGAGCGAGCTGGAAGGCGAGATGGATGCGGACGAAGCGAGGCAGGTGCAGCAGGAACAGTCGCCACAACAATCGCGTGCAGTACCACCACGTGCAGCAGCGACGACGACGGCGACGCCAGCAGCAATGCCAATGGCCCCGATGGCAGCAACGGCTTTTGTGAAAATCAAGCCGACAAACCCGCCCCCATTTAACCCGAGTGACAAGTTTGTCACTGTTTCCGCATGGTTATTCGGTGTGGAGGTGTTCTTTAATGCTGCTATGATTTATGACGACGCCACCCGCATTAATTTCGCAGTTTCACTGTTGCGAGGACCTGCGCTGGAGTGGTGGAGGCGAACGCTGCAACACGAAGGGACTTCGGCAGGAATAGCACGTGCGAACGACGGGACTTCAACACCTGTCACGCATCAGGCAACATCGATTTTCGGGACGGCCACGATACGCACATGGAAGGAGTGGGGCGCCGCCTTGCGAACCAGATTCGAGCACGTATCCGCCTCGGACTCTGCTCGCATGCAGCTGCGTACCTGGAAGCAGCTGACTTCAGTCCAAGACTACACCAGCAAATTCTGCAACTTGGCGGACCAGGTGGACGACATGAGCGACGCGGAGCGGTTGGATCGCTACGTGGCGGGCCTGAAATACGAGATACAGTACGAGGTCCGACGAACCCGGCC